ACGACAACCACTTTTGCGGCGTTACGCTGCCGGAATTGTGGTTCGTCGGACAGGCACTAAGTGGAGGGAGAGTGCTAGATATTTTTCGTGCGACAAGGGGCTCGCCGTCAATGTCAGTGAAGGGGGAAATTGTTCCGTGACTATTGTGGCGGTACGGTAGACGACACTAGAGGTATCGACGATAGTCTGTGGGTTGGACCAGGCTTGTCAAGGTGGAACGGCACACAATTTTTTTAATGTGTGTGCGCGCCAACGGTAGCGAGGTCATTGACATTGGCCCAGTGAGATCTTTTGGGACTGGTGAGGCATGCGAGTAGGACGGGCGGTGCCGGCGGAATAGACACTCGCGAGCTTTATTTATTTTGTGAGGATTAGTGGAAGTGGTTTTGGTTGGCGTCGTCATCAGGTACTGGAAGGAATAGTGCGGGACCACCTGGGACTAGTTGAGACTGATGTGGGACCCGTGGATTCTTTTTGGAGTGTGTGCGGCTTCGTTTTCACACTTGGGCCCACCCCGTGTGAGACGTGCGAGTGCAGAGTGAATCGAGACAACTGGTCGATCGGGACTTACCTCGGGACTGCAGTCTTTTTTAGCGACGAATATATTTTTATTTGGTTTTCTTGAGTGAGCCAAGCATTTGACACCACTTCACTCAAGGTCAGTTCATTGACTCAGATTTCCCTTCACACCTGTGCGAACCCACACTTTACTTGACCATGTTCATTGAATGTTCGTTGAAAAAGTAGAGGAAAGTTGTGTGTATCGTGCATGTGAATGAAAAAGTATGACTTGAGCATGGGATTGCACTAGTTTTCTCTTGAACTTGTTGTCTTTGCGTGTTGTGCAAGTAGGTAGAAGGATGTTGTAAAGGACAAGTTTGATGGTGTCTACTCGAGAAGATGAAAAATATTTCCTTCTTTCTACCTTTCAACAGTCTGTTTGTTAAAAGGACTTGTGGTTTTGCAAAATATTAATTCATTTTTTGTCGTAAAATGAATGTGATTGAAATATGGCAGATAAGGTCAAATGGACGTAGCTTTTCCTGAGAATTGACCCTTTCTATTCCGAAATGTTATTATCTACCTATACATGTCAAAATGTTTCTCATTCTCTATCACCTCTGACTCTTTTCGTCTAAATTACCTTGGGCAAGGGAAGATGAGAACAACTAAAAAAAATACTTGCGTTGAAGACGTTCTCTCTTTCAAGGAAGCATCTGGGGCGGGGGTTTGTTGCTTTAGGAGCCGGCCTTGTTATCGACCCAGAGTGGACCGTTCTACGGGGGGGTACTTTGTCGATTCGGTGGAGACGGCCCGACTTATGAGATCCGAGTCTTGCATTCGGACGAGGAGGAGTACCCCAGACCACTTCCTAGAGGGAGAGATATGCAACACCTCAAGTAATGCACCTGATCAAGAATCATTCACAAAGCATTGTGTCATCCAAGAAAACTAAGGATCTATGAAGACGGATGGATGTTGCATGTCTAATCTTAGGTCAGCGGTAGGTGGAGTGAATAACTTTGGCGACGCATCTCATCAAGTCAAAACTAAGGTTATCCGACTACCTTGTCGGCTGCATTAAGGTTATTGTCGAAGCCAACTTCCATTTGGCAGCTCAGTATGATGTTTTGTTTTATCGATTGCGACTCAAGGTGGTCAGATTTTATTTTGATCTTGTGTTTATTAGATGTACCATATGATGATTCGGATTTTTTCAGACTGCATATATCCCTGTCGACTTCGATCGACTCTTTTCTATGTAACTATGTGTGGTTGTTATAGCTTTCTTTTGACTAGTATCTAAAGGGACTAGGATTGAGTTGTGGGTTTTACGCTTGGTTGAGACTGTCCGAGTTGATCGGCGTACGCTTTGTTCTTAGAAGATCAGCGCTCTAATGGACGAACAACGTTCGGGTTCAATAGGCGTTTTAACCTCGCGTACCTATACTACAGCGAGCGAGCAAACGCCCTCGGCTGCCCTGCCTCTGCAATTGCATGCAAAAGCTTTCGCACGTGGGTCAATAGCTCGGTAGGGATATGCCCCTAAGGGTGGTGATCCCCTTAGGGAAGCAAGTTGTGCCCCGCGGGAACCTATCCTGTCGTAGGGGACCGCGAGATGTATAGCTGGTGCACCCGACTAGAGCGGCAAAGGGACGACGCGACCTCGCCCGTCTCGGCGGTTCGCGGTGTTACTTATGCATTGTCTCCGAGTTGTCTCTTGATTTTGGTTTTGTTTAAACTCTTGTGTGACATGGCCAGGAGGTCTCCTGCCTCTTCGCGAGAAAAGGCGGGGGACGATGCACTCGACACCGCCACGCAACGTGCACAGCGGACCAGAGCAACACCGTGAGGTCTGTGTAAGGCAAGATTAAGGCGGGGAAGAAAATCGCTCAATCAGCACGACCCGACTCCCTCCTATGTGGCACGCCTGGGTTGCGGGTTATAAAGATGGATTGACTCAGTGCGCCGCAGTATGCTCCGCACGTCCACATCGCACTATACACCATCGTTATTTGCCATTGGAAAGGGCGGAAACGTGCTGCGACGCTCTGGGACAAAGTCCGAGCTCGGGTCACGGCCCTCGCTCTCGTCCGTCAAGGCGAAACCTGACTCCATGCAAACACCAACGAATACCGTCGAAAAGGATGCGCCTAACTCTCTTTCTTTGTCTCTCTCTTTGTAGCATAAACCTGAACGTGGTGTCGGGAACCCCCGGGTGGGCACAGAGAGGTCAGCCGCGTTGTGGAAACGCGGACGACCGCTCTGTCCGATATTATCCGCCTCTCCTTGGAGTCCCAACTTGCGCACGATGAGAGAGAGAGACGGTGGAAGGAGGTTGGCGCGTATCCCGCACACTCGCGCGGGTTTAAAGGCGAATAAGAGGAGGAAGGACCGACGCACTCGTGCACTCATGCAAGCAATCGACATTCGATCGACATTCGATACTTCTTATTATCAAGCCTGGCGGCGCATGCATGCACTCCTACTCATAGAGCCCTCAATGAGACATTCAACATCCATAAACTTTCATACCCAAACATGCATAACGGATTACCAACACATTGGGACCATACACACATCACACGGGAACAAAGCATCAATGGAGAAAAACCTCGTCTTAAACCACTTGTACCTTTGTCGGTTCGAAACTACTCGGCCTCTGACCTTTCAGGAGGCCAAAACGAAACTACGGCCGCCGATCAGATATATCAACGGCGGGCTCGGCTTCCTGAAAGTTCGGAGGTAGACCAAAACTTGTTGAAAATAGACTACTAGTGGTTTAAAATACAAAATTCTCACGACTGGCCGCTCCGGGCCCAGTCCCCAATCCGTCAAAACCATCGACAACCATAGCCACAAAGCCCTGCCGCTGCTGTCGTCTGATCTCCACCACCGCTCAGTCCCTCCGACTGCCTTACCCCAACTCTACCGCTAACTCCACCACCCGCCGTCACTTTGCCCACCACGGGGCACGTCGAGCCTTTCCCGCGCCGCGGACTTCGCACATAGCTTGCGCAGCTTGTAGCCGAGATCAAAGAGAGTGATAGGAAGGGGTTGCAAGAATTTATAGCGTGGAAAGGGGCGGGGAGGTTGCGCAAAGCACGGGGCGTAGATGAGCAAGATAGAAGAAGGATATAGGTTCTAGAAGGATCGAAGGAGGCGAGTCGGATGATCTGCGTGATTGGGGTGGTCGTCCAAGTGGGGTGCGCTTCCCGCCACCACCACATTGCCCCGACCTCCCAATCAGACAGCCAATTGTTCGCAGGGAAAGGAGAAGGGGGGGATCGGACTTCGCTTAGAGGAAAGACGAAGAGACATGCAGGAATGGGATGCGCAACAAGAAAGGAAGATGGTGCAGGTATGCAGAGCGAGAGAACGGGTTTATGCGACTCGCAAAAATTTGAAAAACAGCCGCACGCGCAAAAATTCAAAATTCCTACTCCCGCTAATTCCCAACTGCTTCTTGAATTTCTAGGCGCGGCCGGCGAGACCTGAATTACATTTTCTACTCCGTCCCTCTTTTTGTAAAGGAAAAAGAGAGAAAGAAAGAAAAGAAAAAAAAATGAAGCCCCGTTCTTCCCTATTATCTTCAATCCGTACTTAGGGGCTTTACGTGGGATTTTCCCTTAAGGGTACAGGAAGCCGCCGAGTACGGATCCTGGCTTATCACATCTGTGATGCGCAGGGGGTTCCAAAAAAATAGCAGTCTCATGAATGTTGTATGGGCATCCTAATTACTCTGAGGATCCGGGTGGCCACTTCTTCGTCAACTGGCCCAATCCATCACCTACTCTACTTTGATGCATCCCGCATCACTGTGGATCTGCCTTCCCATTGTACACCTGATCGGGCGGCCCCTTCATCGTCGGCTGGCCCGATCGAATTTTTTTTTTTTTTTTTTTTAGTATACGCAGCGCATTTTTGTTGCGTGACCTTTCTAATTAAGAACGGAAGAAGAAGGAGATGAGAAAAAGAAGAAGAAGCCTTAAGGAAATGGTCGATCTCGGAATTAAGAGAGGGAGGAAGAGGAGGAAGAAAGGCTTCCAGCGCAATCGAAGTTGTCGGCGCCTCCACTTCATTGAAGTGGTGTTGGATGAAGGAGGGGTATAGAAAGGCCCCCAGTACTTGTGCCCGAGCACGAGGCGCCAGATCCACAATGGCCCGTACGATTCGTCGCCGCACCGTGCGATTCCCGGGACCCGTCATCACCAGATGGGTCTCGGTATACGGGCTTCGCTCCCTCTTGAGCACCACGATGACGAGAAAATGGTACATGACATTCGGTCATTGGCTAGCCTCGTAAATGAGCATCCCCGCTAGCCTGGCCTCTACGCATCCTTCAAAGGGTGGCTCCAGATATGGCTCCCATGCAGGATCGGGACGTGGAGACCCTCGATCACTTCGAGCGTGATTGTTTCAAGCTCCACCATGAACTCGACATCCGTCGGGTGGACCGTCCGGCTCGGAGGAAGTACTAAGGTCGATGACCGAGGCACGCTTAGGTGGCTGGCGGAAGCGGAAAGGTCCTGCGAGGATGGGGGTTTTGGGTGCGGGATATGGTACTCCTCCCACTCCTCCTGCTGGTGCTAACAGACCAGCTCCATCAAGATTAATATCGGGAAGGAGCGGCGGTGGTGGTGCCGACTCCGGAGGACTCCGGCGTATCCGAAAACTGCTTGTCCCTGCTCCTCCCGGCGGAGGTCCCTCGATTGGTGTCGCCTTGCTCTCCGGAACGGGATCTGGCTTCCTCACCCGCACGGCCTGGTCCACCTCTTCTCCGAGTCCCACTCGACTTTCTTGGGCCTCCGACGATGGCTGTCGATGTCTCTTCTTGGGCGTCTTCCTGAGAGTCTTTGGGGCTGCTGGCTTGGCATAGGATGAGGGAGGCTGCCGCGACTTCCTGTCAACGATGCTAACCACCTTTTTTCCCTCTTGCGCGATATAGTCCGATATAACTACCGCGTGGTAGGATCGTCGTGGAGCCGATGATGTTCCCAGTTGGAGTTGGAGATCTTCCTCTTTGCTAGCGATCACTTGCGCAATAGACAGCAACTCAATATGGACGAGCTCCAGCAGCCCCGGCCTGCTCATTTCGATCTCCCCGAATGGGTACAATGCCACCGTGCCCTCCTTCTCCGGCTTGGGTCGCAAAATGACGTAGTGAAAGTGCAGATTCTCAGCGATATTGTGATCGTCGTACACCACGGCAAACCAGAATATGCCCAGCACCACCAATCAGTACAGTGCCCGATGTAATTCCCACGCATCCTCGTCAGCTTGCGGCAACGGCTCCACGTCTTCCAGCTCCACCAGGTACTCGGAGAAGTTGCGCATGGGGTAGGGGCTCTTCGTGAGTTGATAAGGAAGGGTGGTGTAAGAAAAGAAGGAAGGCATTTAGTGTGAGGGAGGGGGGATAGCTTGGATGTTGAGAGGATCAGCGGGGGGGGGGAGCGCGCGTAGCTGAGGCACCAGTGTCAGCGGGCTGTCCTGTGTCCTTCGCAACAGCATGTGGTAAGTCGTGAATCGATGGCCCCTTCCCTGCACACACGCCACCGATCTCACCACTTGCACCGCATAATCTCGCAGGAAGTTCCACACCAGTTCTCGGTGTTGATCGTCCAGGGGCGTCAAATTGTCGATGAACGTGGCGATGTTGTGCACAAAATTGGCGGCCACCTGGAGCGCACGAAACTCGATGAATACCCTGCTGATTTCCCGACCAGGCAGCTGCGTAACATCCACATATACTCTCGCATATGTCACTCATTCGCTCAGGAGCAAGTACGAAGTGAGATCTGCGCTGCTGGGCCCGGCCACATTCACCTGCTGGACGTCGTATCGTAGTTGTCGATCATCATTGAATCGATGTCGCAATAGGTGATCCACGATCGGCGTTTGAAAATGTTCGACTGGCTCATTCCCCTGCTAGTGCTGGCTCATCCTGCGCAATCGAGTCCTCAACCTCAAACGGCGAAGTGGATTGGAAGGGGGAAGAAGAAGCAGGGGAGGACGAGGAAGCAAAGGGAGAAAGTCTGGACGGGGTCGGAGCCCGCTCGCGATCCAGCGATGGCTTGGAATAGATGAAAGGCAGCAGCGTAGTGAGTCAGCGACCTGGCCTGCGTGTCGTGTTGAGGGATCAGCTTCACGGAGTGCTGGCCTTGTGCGCCAACTTTCGTCACCTCGTAAATGCCAGTATAGTGAGGATGGATCTTGAAGGAGCGCGTGGATTTCCGTACCTGCGCTAGATCCTCGATCTTATAGAGGGGTAGGGGACTAGCGGATGCATGTCAGTTCTCGTAGTCTCTTATATGCTGCTGGTGTGTCAGATCCACGGCCCTCTGTCACCTTCGGGCTAACACAGAGTAGGTTCTAGCCATCAGATCCATGTAATGGTGGGCCTTTTCTCGATGTTGAGCCCGAGCCGCTCTAACTTTCGTACCCATTAGAGGTGACAGCTGCACATGGGGGACACTATTGGTTCTCAATTGAAATGGGGACACCCCTGTACTTTCGTGGGGGGTAGCCTGATAGACGGCCAAGATGTGGTCGACTATGATAGGCCAGGGTCTGGTATCTCCTGCAGTGATGTTCCATCTAAGGGCAGTCTTAATCATTCGATTGGCATTCTCTACGAGCCCGTTGGCCTGTGGCCAGTGCCCTGGTGAGTACGAAATCCTAACGTCGGCCCTTACAAGATGTCGCTCTACCACCCCTTGGAATTCCGACCCGTTATCCATGTGTACCTCTTCTACATCCAAGTGCATGCATAAAAAGCGATTAATATACCAGGCCACTTCTTGCGAGTTCCGACTAGTCATAGGATAGGCCTCGATCCACTTGGATAAATGATCGACGGCCACTAGAAGGACATTGAGCTCACCTTGATCGACTGGACCTCTCGGCACGTTGATATTCATCGTATCAATGCTAACCCGTTGGAAAGGGCGTTCTACCCTAGTCGGTACCATCGTTCGGGGCATCTGTACTGGCGCCTTATCGGCCGCACAGGCCGAGCAATTTTGGACGATGTATCTGACATCCTCCCGAATTCCCGACCAATACCATCCGTTTTTTCTCTATAGCTTTTTCCGTGTACTTGACCACGAAATGGACCGCATCCTCTTCGTGGGCACCTCGTGTCCAATCGAACCTAGCAAGAGGGTGTGGAACCGTCAACCAGCTAGACCAGCTATCATCATTGTCTTTTCGTTTTTGCAAGGCCGACTCCTGTCGTCGATAATCATGAGCCCGTTCCATGACTCGCCGATGTTCCACCTTGGTAAGCTCCGCTACCGGGTCTCCTTTGAGTCTCCTCAACAGGAGGAGATCCGTCCAAACCTCTGCCCTACGGACGCTTGGCAAAAATTAGTCCTCGGTCCTAGCTTCTATATACCATTTCTCCATGGGTACTTGGTCTGTTCGATAGTTGGGGCAGTCCCACTTCTTCTCGTTCCGGTACCTAATACAACACCCGTGGGACCACGTCATGCAGCATTGGCTGCATCGTACCCACGAGATAAAAGTAGGTCCTCCGGCGTGTGAACCTCCTCGGTCTGGTATCATAGGCAAGGTGCAGAAAAAACAGGAATGCAGAGATAGGCTAAAGGGAGAGTGAGGGGTAGACGAGTGGATCGAAGAGTCGGGGGAAGATGAAAGGGTAGTCATTGCTTCAAGGGGGATCGCCATCTCGCGCCTCGGTGCATCCCATGTGAATGACATGTGCTTCTCCGTAGCGAGGCTCCGTTCCAAGCGAAGCTTCTTTCCACGGGATGAGTCATTCGTTCGGTAGGCACTTCTTCGATGGCTGGAGGCGGGTCAGTCCATCCGCGTTTCCGTGTTGTTTGGTCGCACGGTGGCGGATGTCGAAATCGTAGTCTTGCAGCCTCACTGCCCACCTTCCCAAGGTTCTTGTATAATCCGTGTTGTTTCGCAAGGACAACAACGGTTGATGATCTGTCACGAGAACGAACTTCTGGCCGTGGAGGTACGGTCGAAAATGTTGGATTCCCCACACCACCGCCAAACACTCGCCCTTGCAAGCTTCGTAATTTGATTGTGTCTGGGTCAGGGTCTTCGATGCGTATTCAATGACGTGCTCCTTCCCGTTTGCTCCCAGTTGAGTCAGCACTGACGATATTGCTTACGGCTGCCAATCCATGTGCAGAGCGAACGGTTTTGTCGGATCTGGTCGCGCCAGGATCGGTGCAGTGGTCAAGGTTTTTTTTAGCGCCCGGAAAGTCGCCTCGCACTCCGGCGTCCAAATCAATTGTTTTTCCTTCTTCAGCAAATTGGTCAGAGGCTTGGCGGCGCCGGCAAACCCTTGGATGAATCGTCGATGATACGAAGCCAGGTCGAGGAAAACTCGCACCTGAGCGAGTGTGAACGACACCGGTGCCTCTTGTACAACGGTCATCGTCCTTGGATCTAGTTTCAAGCCATCCACCGTGACGATGTACCCCGAGAAGGAGATTTCCGACATAAAAAACTCGCTTTTCTCCAATGCCACTTTGAACCCCGTGTCTTTCAATGCATGCAAGACCCACTCGACATGTTCCACATGGTACTCGTGTGTTTTGGAAAAAAAACAAAATATCATCCATATACACAATCACACAAAAATTTACCAGGGGTTGGGTCAGGCGGGTTTTGTTAACAAATTTTGCGAAAGTCATATTCATGGCTCGCTGGAACGTCACGGGTGCGTTGCATATTCCCATAGGACATCTGATCCAATGCCACATGCCCTCGAATAAGACAAAGGTCGTTCTGGGCTTATCTTCCGGTCGGACTGCAACATGGTGAAACCCGTGTCGAATATCGAATTTCGAGAAGACTAGTGCAGAACCAATGGCATCCGAAAAATCATTGATATGAGGCAGCGAATAAACATCCTTGATGGTAATTGCATTTAATTTATGATAATCAATGCAAACGCGGACTGTCCCGTTTCGTTTCGGCACGAGGACCACAGGGAACGACCAAGGACCTGGGGAGGGTTCTACCCCATCCTAGATGCTCAAACTCCCGTACCCTCTCCAAGGCTAGTTGTCGTTTCTTTAATGAGTAGCGGTACGGCCGGCAGTGTATTGGGGGGTGGTCCCCTGTATCAATTGCGTGCCTTATCAGGTGTGTCAGTCCTATATCGTCATCTTTGATACTGACCGCCTCAGGGTAAGCCCACCTCAAGAAGGAGGCGTTGATATTCGCTAGGTAAATGGACAGGTATCAGAATATCGATGCTCCCACTAGGAAGGGAGACCGTTGATGTGACAGTTGGGACCCGGCCGATTTCCACTGGCGAGGCTCCAAACAAGGAGTTGTCGGTTTTCACCGAGAGCACGGTGGCTATGAGTTGACTATCCGCCGGGCTTATCGGTTCATTTTCCTTTTCCCTCTCTTCCCCAAGTTCGGCTTTGACCGAGGGTTCTACCGAAAATGCCTGTAGGAGTTCCCTCAGGCCCCATGAGCTTTCAAAGGTCCTGGGTTGAAACGCTACCCCTTCTTCCAAAAGCATTGCAGCCTTGGCGTCAATGAGCAAGGGTCGCAGGGGCCTAAAAGACAAATCGCGTAGCCCCCTATGCTCGGCAAGTCTCTCCGGGAGGGGGTCCGTTCTGAGATTTAGGGACGCAGGGGGTTCCAAGAGGTCGATTATCCGTGACACCCTCAGCAAAGGTTCCCCTCTCACGGTAGAGGAGAACATCTAAGACCAACTAGACTCACTCTGAATAATCCCCGTTGACACGTGCCGCCTAAGTTGGCAGAACCGGTCTTGAATTCGTATTGAATATTGATCGGGTTCGTCTGAATCCTCGGTTTCCATCGCGGGTCTTTCTTCGCCCATTGACACCTATCGAACCATGTTAACTTTGCGAACCTCGGTGGAAATATGAGGGGCTGGCTGTGCGCGTACACGCACGGCCATCCTCATGGGTATCGTTTGGGGCTTAGGGTGGGCCGAGGTGAGCACTATTTTAGAACCGTCAAAATGCATCCGCGCCCCTACCGCCGCCTGCCACAAGATTCCTAGGAGCACATCATACGCTTGCACATCCAATACAATCGCGTCACACAGGCAATGCACCCGCCCGACTCTTATAGGAACATTCATACTCCGTCCTTTACAATGAATGTTGTCCTCTGTGGCGGATACATCCAGCTCGTCGGGTCGGAGGGGCTAAACTTGTTTCTCCCGACCCAAACGCTTCATCAAACTCCAAGAGATAGCTACGGCCGACAATCCAGAAATCCAAGATGGCGGCCGAAGGGCTTCCCCAGACCTCGCAGTCACACTCGACACTCTTCCAGGTAATCGGGTAAACCCGAAGAAACACCTCACGTTTCTCTGGTGGTGGATCCAAGGCGTGGATCATGCCGACCCGGTTGGCCTCGTGGGTTTTCGAAGTTGAGGGTTGAGCCTCGACCACCACCGATGGGTCGTTGATCGCCAACTTTTTACCCCTTCGGTCCTCTTCGAACCGGCGCTGGTTCTTCAGGCATCTTTCAATAAGTTTCTCGTTGGCAGCCTCCGAAATGGTCAGCAGGTAGGGAATAGGCACTCGTATCCGCAGATCCAAAGCCTTCAAGGCATCTAGTACATCGATTTGGCCGTCCTTGTACTCGAGACCCGGTATCGTGGGGTCTTCGAATCCGGGTCTCCACGGTCCCAAGTCGCTTTCGCCGGTAACCCGCGGGGTATGGCGGATTACGGCAATGGTTCCGAGTTCGAGCATGGCGGCCGCCAAATATTCATCGATCCCAATTTCGACGGCCGTCGGGCCCACCATGTCTAGGGTCCCCGCATCCATAACTGCCGCCATCGGCCCTTGTCCTGCAGCTGTTGGAGCCGTCAGCGAAATCTGGGACAGGCCAGCAACCCCTACCTGAGCCCGGGGTCGCGGACAGTCCTTGGCCAAGTGTCTGAGCTGATTGCAATTATAACATCGCATAGACTGAGTAGCTCCGACCACAGCAGGCCGAGGCAGCGCCGCCCCTGCGGTCGCAGCCATTGGGTGTCTTTGTGCCACTATCGCCCTTTGCCTCTGCAAGCTTTGAACAAACTCAATTAAAGTCGCCACAACCGTCACAAGTTGTGCAGCTATCTCCTTCATCGAGGGTTCGTCTACGTCTCGTCCCCCTTGCGTTTGAATGGGGCGTCGAGAGGCCGAGGAAGAAGATGGGGCTCTACGGTCTGGATTCTTCTTGGTCGGTCCTAATCCGAAGCGATCTTCGAACATCCGAGTCGTAGCGGAATAGTTGTAGCGTCGGACACCTGATGGGTCATTGTCGTCGGATTCCGAATCCAAACCCACATCATAGTTTCCTTTTTCATACTCGATAGCATACTGAATGAGCACAGTCAAGGTATGTTCAATTGGGTTGCATTTCTTACGGATCTTTTTCCGCAATCGGGAATCAAATAATCCCCAGACAAAATCGGTTCGCACCATTTTCTCATACATCCCAAAACGTTCAGCCAAGTGGGTAAAGCGCTGCGTGTACCTAGCTAGAGTCTCACGGGGCTGTTGCGTATATTCCTTAATTAGGCGTAAACATTGCCCCGATCAATGTGATCAAAGCGTTCGAGAAATTTTCTCTGGACGGTGGGCCAATTGGTATAGAGGTTTTGTCCATACCATTCAAACGCGGTTGCAACTAACGTTCCCGGAATCTGTTCTCGAAGCAACTGGTCCGTCCAACCCTGAGCCTTTAGGGCCGCCAGCCAGGTGCGTGGGTCTGTTTCATCTTCGGAGAAGATGGGAACTTCGGAGGGAGGAGGAACAAAGTATAGGGGATGGTCGGCCAATCCTGCATGATTATCCACTCCCTGTCCTGGTTCCACCATGGCGCAAGGTTGGTTTCGCCCCCGCACCTTTGGTTGGTTGTGATTGGCGTTCGCGGGGCGGCGGTGCCTGGGCGCCAGCCTATCCGTAAGCAAAAAGAAAAAGGTCTATACAAATAAGAAAATTCAACTAAATGGACAGCCGCCCCAAAGGAGACCTCGAAGCCGAAACAAATCAGCTCTGATACCAACCTCACGTCGTGTGCGGCGTTCGATACTTCAGACATCGATCAGAGTAGTTAGGGGTGTGGTCGAGGATTTTTGGCCATGGGCACCGGGGGTTGAGCCACCCGGACGAAACGGGGGACTCTTGCTTTAGGCCGAGGTGCCTAGGGGGGGGGTTGAGCTGTCGCCGGGGGCGAATAACAGCGCCCTATGGGCCGACCGTCATCACCTCGTGAAAAAGAAAGAAAAGAAAATGAGAGGGGAGGGGAAAAGAGAGACGAAGCTCATGGGAACGGTGCTCCGTTCCCCGAGGTCCCAGGTTCGCACGGCCCTTGGAAGGAGCACGGAGTCCCCGAGATCGGGTTCAGGCTTTGGCGTCCGACTCGTCGAGTCCGTGCGGACGGCGGGCACGGGGCTGCCTGCGGTCGAGCAGGTTGATGGAACCCAGGTTCGAAAACGAGCGGGGAGGGCACCCGCGTTGCGCGAGAGTTCGGGGAAGCGGACGGCTCCTTCGTACCACAGGACCAACCGTCGCCACGAGCACGAGTCCCCTTGGTGACATCAGTGGCAATTAAACTGTGGTCGCCACTCAGCGTGCACAGCGGACCAAGGCAACACCGTGAGGTCTGTGTAAGGCAAGATTAAAGGCGGGGAAGAAAATCGCTCAATCAGCATGAACCCACTCCCTCCTATGTGGCACGCCTGGGTCGGGTTATAAAGATGGATTGGCTCAGTGCACCGCAGTATGCTCCGCACATCCGCATCGCAATATACGTCGTCGTCATCTGCGATCGGGAAGGGTGGAAGCGTGCTGCGACACTCTGGGACAAAGTCCAAGCTCGGGCCACGGCCCACGCTCTCATATGTCGAGACAAAACCTGACTCCATGCAAAGACCAATGAATACCGCCGAAAAGGATGCGCCTAGCTCTCTTTCTCCGTCCCTAGCATCAACCTGAACGTGATGTCGAGGACCCCGGGGTGGGCACAGAGAGGTCAGCCGCGTTGCGGAAACGAGGACGATCGCTCTGTCCAAGATTATCGCCTCCCCTTGGAATCCCAACTTGCACACGGTGAGAGAGAGAGACAGCGAAAGGAGGTTGGCGTGTATAGTTTAAAGGTGAATGAGAGGAGGAAGGACCGACGCACTCGTGCACTCATGCAAGCAATCGACAATCGGTACTTCTTATCATCAGGCCTGGGGGCGCATGCACACACTCCTACTCATAGAGCCCTCAATGAGACATTCAACATCCATAGACTTTCATACCCAAACATGCATAATGGATTACCCACACATTGGGACCATACACACATCACACGGGGACAAAGCAGCAATGGAGAAAAAGCTCATCTTAAAATACAGAATTCTCACGACTGGCCGCTCCGGGCCCAGTCCCCAATCCGTCAAAACCATCAACAACCATAGCCACACGGCCCTGCTGCTGCCGGCGTCTGATCTCCACCACCTTTCAATCTCTCCGACTGCCTTACCCCAAGTCTACCACTAACTCCGCCACCCGCCGTCACTCCGCCCACCACGGGGCACGTCAAGCCTTTGGGGCGCCGCGGGCTTCGCGCATAGCTTGCGCAGATTGCAGCCGAGATCAAAGAGAGTGAGAGGAAGGGGTTGCGATAATTTATAGTGTGGAAAGCGGCGGGGAGGCTGCGCAAAGCACGAGGCATAGATGAGCAAGACAAAAGAAGGGCAGAGGTTCTAGAGAAGGATCGAAGGAGGCGAGTCGGATGATCTGCGTGATTGGGGTGGTATTCCCGCCACCACCACATTGCCCCGGCCTCCCAATCAGACAGCCGATCGTTCACAGGGAAAGGAGAAGGCGGGGATCGGACTTCGCTTAGAGGGAAGACGAAGAGACATGCAGGAAGGGGATGTCCAGCAAGAAAGGAAGATGGTGCAGGGATGCAGAACGGGAGAATGGGTTTACACAATGCGCAAAAATTTGAAAAACAGCCGCGCGCACAAAAATTCAAAATTCGTACTCGCACTAATTCGCAATTGCTTCTTGAATTTCTTGGCGCGGCCGCTAACCGGCCACGTGAGACCTGACAGTGAAGTGCAAGTTTCTCCAACATTGTATGGAAGCTATGGGAGTCTGACCCAACTTCAAAAAGTGGGTTCGGGTGCTGTATAAGGACCCTCACAGTGAAGTGCAAGGTTTTTTTTTTTTTTTTTTTTTTTTTTTTGGACAAGCACCCCTTCCAATGCTAGTGCTGCTGATAAGAGCAGACAGCACTATCACCGGAGGAGAGGCTCCATCTATTGGTGGGGAGCGTCACCTGCTGGAAATTGGGTCCAGCGTCCCGTTTTACAACAAAGCTGGAACCAATGACTGTGAGTAGCTGTGGGACCTGCCAGCATTGATTGCCCTGCAGAATCAGGGGATTAACTGAGCAGGCTTATGTGAAAGCCAAAAGTGCATGTAAGAGAACCGGGACCTTGGAGAACTGCTGTTGCCTTTGTATCTCTTCACCCTCATAGGGAGGGTGCCAGATAGGAAAATAGGGACTGATACTGACCGGCTGCTTGCTCCAGCCCCAGCCTGCTGACTGCAAATGCTGACTGCTTTTGTTAAGTATGGATAGGGTCTTATGAGAAGGCCCTTCCTTCTGCTAAGGATCCCCTCCTCCATACCACTGCTCCCCTACTATAGCTAGAGCTGGTGGTGGAAAGAGGTCGGGGAAGTCCGAAGCAGGGCGCCAAGGAATGTCCTGATGGATATCTGACCATTCTTGAAAGAGAAGCTGGTAGTTCCTGCCACTTTGTCCCACAATTTCCCTCCCCCCTACTCCTTCCCCTTCCCCCTCCCATCGAATATTTGCAATGGGCTTCCCTTGGGTCCCCCCCAGCCAGTCCTTGCTGAATTGTTGGATGTGTTTCTTGATTTCTGTTTTAGTATGTAGGGTTACTAATTTTTCTTTTACTTTTTCCCATTGAATAGTAATTTCCACTTGCACATACAGTCTAATTTCTTCCTGTAGGGTTTGGCCATCCAGTCTTACTGCCTCCATTTCATAAACACAACGTCTCCTCCATAGCGTCCGGAGCACCGCCCGCCTCCCGATTTTAAACATGTTTTCTTCGAAGGATGTAGCCTGTTCCGGGTGCCATGTTTCACACAGAAGTGCCTTCCAATCCCATGGCCAAGTGATTGTGGCGCCCATCTGTCTCCAAACCCTTTCCCACCATCTCCATAGCCACACTACCCAAAGTGCAAGTTAATGGGCACCTGTTAGAATGCTACCCAATCTCAAGATCGGTTAGACAAGGGATCTGTGATACGCAACCTCACGCCCCCTCGCGGCTTCCCATACGGGGTCGCCGATCAGAGTTCTTGGAGGGGCATGGCCGAGGATTTTTGGTCGTAGGTGTTAAGTCTTCCGGACGGAACGAGAGGCTCTCGTTTCGGGCCAGAGGTTACCCCGGAGTCGAACTGTCGTCGCGAAATCCCGTGGGGGTCGGATCGCTCCGAAACGATCAAATCAGAAGGGTTTCCGCGAAAACGAACTGCCGTCGTGCATCAGGACAGGAAAAGGCATCGAAGGGGAGAGGGTCATGGTGGCGAAAGACAAAACTTCGGCCGTCAGGGGTTTTGGGGGATAGGTGGTGGGTTCGAAGCCTTCAGGCCTCGTCCTCGGCCTCACGAAGTGACCGAACCATCGGGTCTTTTGCTGCGGCCGCCACGCGGCGTGAGCGGCTGACCAGGGCAACACAGTCAAACCCGTATAAGGCAATATTAGAGTCGGGGAATCAAAACGCTCAATCAAGACAAACCCGTTCCCCCTTATATCACAAGCCCGAGGCGGGTCTCGCCAACACACTTGCTCCGTTCGCCTCAGCGCGCACCGTACGTCCGCATCGCAGTAGACGCTGTCACCATCTGTGATGGGGAAGGTCGGTAGCAGGATGAGACGATCGGAGGTAGGCGATGAACACGGGCAAGATCCCCCGCTCCCGGTCATCCGAACCAACATCGACTCCATACAACACTCGATGCAACCTTTTCTCTCAAAGTTAGTGCGTCGAAGGAGGATGGCGAAATCGAAGCTCTCTTCCTCTTGCAGGGGCGTCAACCGCGCGCGCGGACGCAGGCGGTTGACGTCACCGGTACGGGGACGAGAAGCTCAAAAAGGAAGGCGAGAGAGAGAGAGGGAGGGAGCTTACACCTAGCGCGTGCGCGCGCGCGAAGGGCCGCGGAAGGGAGGGGAACAACGGGATTAACACACTCGTACTCCTAGGCAGACGGTCCCCCAGTTCAGTTGCCCCGTCCCCGCCCGGACAAGTACATACACACATGCATGCAAACAATCAACAACCCTTGACAGGACATCTAATCATCCATAGACCTTCGACATCACTCATGCGCACAACCAGCTCCCATCACTCGGGGCTTCACACACACGACATGCATAGACAAAGCAGCAATGAAGATAAAAGCGAGTCCTTCTTGTACACAAAAAATTCAATTAACGGCCGCCCCCAGGCGCAGCCTTCGAACCTCCCCAGACCACCGACCACCATAGCCACAAGGCCCTGCCGCGGCCGGCGTCAAATCCCCACCACTGCTCAGTCCCTCCGACTGCGTCGCCCCGAGACTACCGCGGGTCCACCCCACGTCGTCACTCCGCCCGTCCTTGGGCTCGTCGAGCCTGTTCTGCGCCGCGGACTTTCGCGCATAGCTCACACAGCATTGCAGCCGAGATCAAAGAGAGAGAGAGGAGAGGGTTGCGCGAATTTATAGCACGGGAGGCGGCGGGTTGTCAGCGCGAGGTGCGGGCAGCGAAGGTTGTAGATGAGCAGGATAGGAGGAAGGTGGGGAGTTAGAGGGTTCGACCTGCGGGATGGCCTGGTACTACGTGATTGGGGTGTCCGTTCAAGTGACGCGCGGTTTCCCGCTCCCCACATTGATCCGAGCATCCCAACTACGCGGCCAATCACTTCGCGGGGTAAGAATCGAGCTGGGCGGAGGGGAAGACGAAGAGTCCGGCACGGGGAAAATGCGCGCAGCAAGAAGGGAAGATGGCGCGGGGATGCAAAGCAAGAAACGGGGATGCGAGACGCGAGAAGAAATCGGAGCTTAGGCGTGCGTGCGCAAAAATTCAAAAAGTCCCAACCGCCCCCGTTTCTTGGTTTTCATACCGCGGCCGCTATTCGCCCGCGCAGGAGTTATTAACCAAACAAAACAAAAAAAAAGCCATTTCGAAAAGAAAACAAAAACAAAAAGAAAGAAAAACCCCTGTTTGTCCGCATCCGTGCCTCGGGGCTTCCGAGGGATTTTTCCTCAGGGATAAAGGAAGCCGCGCGGTACGGGTCGGAGCTTATCACAGATCCGTTAGCCGCACCAAACTCTTATTTATCATGGAGGCAGTGCCTTTCTTCCTTCGGAAAGACCCTTCGGTCCAGCGCCTCAAAATGGACCAGACCAGCACAGCCGGGCAATTTGTATCCCAACCACAGTACTCACCTGTTTTTTTCTTTTTTTCCCCCCCTGAAAACTTGGACCATTTCTCAATCTGTGAGTCATCCTTGCGCAGGGGAGGGGCCATGCTAATCTTTTCTGTATCGTTCCAGTTTTAAAGGATGTCCCGAGCCACAACATGGTACTCACCTTGTTTCTCCCTCTGCCTTTGAACCACTAGTAGGTTTCCCAGGTATTTCTTCAGAGTTGCCGCCTGCATGCATGCATGCAGCCATGACTGTCGGGAAGTACCGGGGCGCTGTTTCGCTGAATATCCATCCAGGCAAAACCGGTCGCATGCAAGGCCCGTTTTGCTTGGATGGATATCCAGCAAGCAAAAAGGCGCCCAGGTACTTCCAGAAAGTTTCAGCTGTATGGAGCTGCATATTTGATTTCTAGCTGGGAAACATACTCTGCAGCAAATTTCAAAATCTTCTGTCATGTTTTTTCGCCAGATAAGTAATTCAATGTAGAGGAGAGAGCAGAGCAGTTGAGTTAGTGAGGCAGCGGCGTTCTTTGGGTGGTTTTTGGTTTGTGAGGTGTTTGCAGGCCTGCAGCTATGTTTATTTTGGTGGTTTTTGGATTGTGCGGCAATTTCAGGGTTGCGGCTCTTTTTATTTAGGTGGTTGAGGCAGTTTCAGGCCTGTGGCAGTTTCAATTTCCCAGGGTCTGGTGATATCAGGGCAGTGATCTGGATTTGGTTATTTCTGTCTCTGGATTATACACCGACGCCTGCACCTAAGCTGGGTATAGGTCCCAGTATTATTCTTGTCTTGTTCTTCCGGGTTGTTCCCGGCCTCTCTCTTTGCGCATACTCACATGGGGACCTGATGACCTTAAATCCCAAAATTTGAGGCAGTTTCCTCTCTCTTTGCGCATACTCACATGGGGACCTGATGACCTTAAATCCCAAAATTTGAGGCAGTTTCAGGGTCACATTGGAGAAGCCGCTACCCAAATGTACTTTTTGGTGACCTTTTTGTCAGCAGCCAGCGGGGCTGCAGGAGGACCCTTTTTGAGCCCACCTCCAGAGGTGGTCTCAAATTACCTTTTCGTTCTTTTTCTTTCTCCTCGAGGTATTTCAAGAAATCTGTGGATGACGAAAACAGCCTGCGTCACCCAAGAGCCTAGCCCTTTTTGAGCCCACCTCCAGAGGTGGTCTCAAATTACCTTTTCGGTTTTTTTCTTTCTCCTCGAGGTATTTCAAGAAATCTGTGGATGACGAAAACAGCCTGCGTCACCCAAGAGCCTAGCTCAGTGGGACCCGTGTTCGAACCCAGATGATGGAATTTGATAAGTAAAACCAAATACTTATGAATTGCCTGGGGCCGGTCAGCTCAATGATGATATCTCAAGACCGTCACCCCACCAATGGTACCTCGCCCAGTGTTGGGAAATTAGGGAAAACTGGCAGTTTTCCCAAACTCCTGAAAATTTGGAGGCCGGGCCCGACGACAGCTGCCATTGATAAATCTGATCGGTGGCGGTCGTTTCTTTTCGGCCATCCGAAAAGGTCGGAGGCCCACCCGAGGCCCGCTATTTTCCCACGCGGCAAAGGTACTAGTGGTTTAAAAAAAAAAAAAAAAAAAAACAGCCTGCATGTTAGTTCAACATTGAAAGCAAAAGAAAAAGAAAAAGAAAAAGAAAAAGAAAAAAATATATATATATATATCGTCATATATATATTGATATATATTTCTATACTCTTCTCTCAACTTCTGTTTCTTTGCCTTCCACTACCTACTCCTAAGACTATCTAGAGGGGACCCCTGCAAGCATAGTTTCCTCTCTCTGTGAAGGGGAGATTTCATGTTGCCCCTTGCCTCTAATGGTTAGGGTATAGGGTTGGGGCCGCCAGTGGGGGTCCGGCTAACACAAAGACCGAGACCTGCCAGTAGCTGTGCCTCCCTTTCTCATCGTCCCCCACTCTTCATCAAGTAGCAGCAGAGGCTATGGCCAACACTCTCCCACACACCACATTGGGCCTCGCCGCACGGTGCAAGAAACGGAAAAAAAAACGACTTCGTTTCGTGAAGTCATCGCCCCATAGCACCCACACGAACTGTGTCAGAAAAAACTCGTGAATGCTGTCAGCCTCGAAGTTTGCGAGGCCTCACGAGTGTGCCGACTCCTCCCTGCCTGCAGCCCTCGCAAACTTGTAGGTCCTCCGAGGAGCTGCGAAATCTCACGAGTGTGCTGCATAGCTCCAACCGAAGTCCATCCAAGAACTTGGACTGTAGCGTCCACAAATTTGGACCGTAGCTAAACGAATCCCGCACTACTCTCGCCAGGGCGTTGTCGCGAGAGGTTTCGTGTGTGCTGTGGGGCGGTGAGGCAAAAAACGAAGCGAAACGGTAGATCAGGGCTTCGCGAGGCCTCACTGCTCTGGTGGTCGTTTCCTTTCGTTCGTTGTGCCGTCCAGCGAGGCCCATTGGGTAAGCAGTGTGACTACTTGCACTTCCTGGGAGGTGCAAATGTCAGGGCTGCCACTGTGTCCTTCCTGGACAGAGAACGTGCTTGTGGCCACATGGGCACCCAAATGGTACCAAACTTCCCAGATATATGCGACTTTAGGTCCCCGTGTGAGTATTCCCTGAGTCTTTTTTGTACAAAAAGAAAGAAAAAAAAGAAAAGGATGATGTGCATGGCCCCTGAGCAAGGACGCCAGGCACAAATCGACAAAAAAGTACCAAACAAACCCCAACAGGTACTAAGAACTAGAAAAGTTTACCTCTTTCGAGACCCAGTTCTTGTCGCCTGGCTTGGCAGCTTCACTAGGACTTAGCCTCCCTTCGGTTGACAAGATCGGGCCGACGGCAGTGCCGCGATGAGGCAGAGATGCAAGTCCGACCCCAGAAAGACCGGCAGGAGTGGGAGCAGTAGAGCCAGGACCAAATTCTGATCCGGGTCCAAGCTGTCGCGGACCACCACAGCACCCAGTGCCAAAATGAATGCCGTCTGTTCGGAACACAATGGCAACCTCAGGGCTGGTCAACCGGACCCCTCCTCCTCCGTCGCCGCCTCCGCCTCCGCCTCCGCCTCCTCCTTCTCCCCAGCTATCCTCAGGCCCATCTCTGCGTCTGGATGGTGATAACTGGAGGTCGAATTCGAGGCGACCACTGAGATTCTCTCCTTGCAGTGTGCGGCGACTGTATACGTCCGCGACACCCGCTGCCGTCGACCCGTCGTCGCCCAGCCGAATGCTCCAAGTCTTCCTGCGATGATGAGTCCCTTGACCGCTATCATTTGGACCAGATAACTGATTGCCGTCACTCATTCCTCTTGATCACTTGAACCTGTGCGCTGCTTGGTCCAGAACGCAACGCGACGGCCCCTTTCCCCCCCCCCCCTCCTCCTCCTCCTCCTCTTCCTCAGCCACACACTCCTCTGCGCTTCGATATCTCCCCAATCAGCCTCAGAACACAGTCTTCCGGCCCCACACAGTGACTTCTCGCTCTCCATCCACACTCCCACTTCATCTGCGTTCCCCTTGCCTCTCATCCTCCCCTTCACCACAGTCAGTCCCTGATCATCTCTCTCTCTCTCTCTCTCTCTCTCTCTCTCTCTCTCTCTCTCTCTCTCTCTCTCTCTCTCTCTCTCTCTCTCTCTCTCTCTCTCT